GTGGGATCTCTGAAGCTATGATAAAAACAGTAGATTTACAGTCTGGAGATGGCTCAAATATGATTAAAAGGTTTCCTTAAACCTAGAAGATAGCTGTTCTCTCCCTGACAAAAGGGTCAGTGATCTCAATGTAAGAGGAGTTAATGACAACACATTTGAAGCATGCAAAGAAGCCTGACAGGCTCTCTATAAACCAGAGTCATTATAATAGCAGAAAAAGGGTTTGTGCCCAATCAGAAGACAGCTGCAGGATCCAATCATAGTTCAGCATAGGGTCCCCATGACCTTTAACCAAATACGTACAGCTTTTATTTTCTGACATCAATGCATAGGTTACATTTTACTTTTTCAAAACAGATTACCAGCATTATTCAGCTTTCACTATATACACTTAAAGCAGGAAATACACTATCCAGAAGATGGAAAAAGAGAGGAGGGCACAATTGTTTCTATAATTTGTTTGCCTGGCCTCTACCCGAGCTTCCCCAAGCTCCATTTAATGGCTGCGCCAGATGCATTGAGTGAATGGGCTTGAAGAGGAAGCATAACAATGATGATAAGAAATTAAATCCCTGTGGCAGAGAATGGGTAAGAAAATGCAGGTTTGGGTGGAGGCGAGGGCTGTGTCCGAGCAATGGATGATTGTGGCATGGAGTAATTATGTCGTTCCTCAGCCAATCCGAGTTCTTGGATTGGTCTTTTTTGGTCTGCCTGGCTGCGTTCTTTCACTTCAGAATGAAGGAGCTCACGATTGCTGCCCTCTGGTTAGCTCCTCTGGGGTCAGAGTAGAGGCTTTCTCCCCCATCCTAACACCCAGAACAAACAGCCCGGGCGCTAAGGATAACCACACCAAAACACGCATCATTGCAGATGGCAATTGAGGCAAGTAGCACTCCCCTACTCTGTAGCTTTTGGCTACAACCCAGAATATCTGATTCATTCTATCTCTGTGCCTAAAAAGCACCAGAGGGACTTTCCACCAGAAGAGGCGGAGAGCCTTACCTTTATGATTCTCCAAAGAGGCAGAATCTTTTCAAACCAGAGCTGTGCCATCAATCTCAATGGCATGCCTGGATTCATATTGGTGCATGTGAAAGAAGGGAGAGAAACACAGCTCTCAGAGAACTATTCTATCTTCTTGGGCATACATTGACTCGTTCATGAAGACTAGGCGTCAAGGAAAAGCTCAGTTGAGCAGCTCCACTTCAGATTTATCTGGAACATGCTTCCCAATAAACTCCAAAGGGCAACTTTTTTAACAAACATCTACCATAGGAGGCAAGTGGATTGGGTTCTATCTTATGTGGTTTCAGGCATACTGAAACAGACAAAGAGGTGCAAAACCTGAGCCTACTGTCTGTCCCCAGAGGTGAAAATACACAGCAATGCAAGGAGCAGAAAGTCAATTTTTATCCAAGATTACAAAAGGGCAAACTGAGGAGAAGGAAAGACAGGCAGCAGTACCTTAATGCCGTCCACTGGGTTATGGATAACGGTGGTTTGAGGTTCCTACAGAGGAAGAAAGGATGAACCAAAGAACAAAAGGAAGAAGATAAAAGAAATGAAAGAAGAGATAAAGAAGAAAAAAGGTGGTAATTTGAAGAGACAGGGGAAGAAATGGAGCAGAAAATGGCAGTAAAAATGTGAAGAAAAGGGAAGAGGGGGAAAAAAGACCAAGACCCACATGAGAGCAGGGAGGGGAAACAGAATGGAAGGGAAAAAAGCAAAAGGTAATTAGTTCAGCAAAAGGCAAATGATTAACAAACAGAAAGTGGCAGAGTAAATCAGGGACAGAAGAATCGAAACTGGATTTTTCATGAATGAAACCAAAAAATCATATTCAACCCCATGGCAAGATTGTTGTGAGCCCCTTGGAAATGGAGAGTGGAAGCTGACATTAACATTCAACCTTTCTGCAAAGCCAAAGAAACCATTGCAATAGGGGAAATGATAGGAAGCGCCAAGGAGAAGAGAAAATGGCAGGAATGAGCTCCCCAAGGAAGTGTGGTCAATCCATACCATGGCAGTTAGCATCTCAATACAGGCTCCACCTGAGATCATAGGGAAGAAGAAAAAGAAAAGAAAAAGAAGAGCAGAAGGCCCTTTGACCACATCCCCTAGTCCTGAAGAGAACTTTTCATTAAGAATGAAAGTCTATCCCATTCAGAGACGCTTCCTCTAGAAGGATGCTCTGGCTTGTACCTTTCACCCATATTAGTTCTGTGCAGAAGGATTTCACAAAAGGTACTGGGTTCTGAAGAGTGCTCCTAGTGCAACCAATATCACCCTGCAAAATGCTAATAATCTTCATCACTGAATGCTTACCTTTTGCATCAGTGTGGTGGCGGGAAACCTGACCATACTTTAAGAGACATTTAAGATGTACTTACCTGGAAGAAGGTCCTACGAGGTGAGCCACAAAAAATGCACCACAATGATTTTTTTTTTAATGGGCCTTTTTAGGTCTGTGACAGCTGGAGTGAGTATTTTGGGGTGGGTTGTTTTTTTAAGTATTAAATGAGCTAGACTATTACATCATATTATTTTTGTCTGATTTGCTAGGAGCAGGTGATCAGATGCAAAAAAAAGTCAGGGCTTTTATACATTGGCTGACTCTAGACACATCAAGAAAGTGATTCAGTTAAATGCTCTGTAAACTTCATACAGGGAAATCCCATTGGTGAAAGGCAGGACTCTACAGCGCCATATGGTGTCACAGTGTTATAACATCTATAAAGCGCTTTATCTTTACGAATGTAGCTGAGTCCCTTGAGTAGGTAGAGAAGAAAAGTGACCCAATACTGAACTAGATTGACTAAAAATCTGATCTGCTAGAGCAGCTTCTTTATTAACATACAAAAGTAGCTTGATTAGGTCATTAATTATTTCATTAATCAATTTTGGAGCACTCATATTTTTTAAAGTTGCATAACTGCCATAATAGGAACAGTTTTAAAGGGAATCATTTATTAGCAAGAAGCAATCTCTTTAAAAAACTGATTACAGTTCACACTTTTCCAGATTATTCTGAAGTTCCACTGTTCTTCCTCCACTGTTGAAGGCAGGATGCCTCTGAAATATCAGTTGCAGGAAATCGCAAGTGGGGAGAGAGGATTTCCCATGGCATCTGGTTGGCCACTATGAAAACAAGAGTGCTGACTAGTTGGGCTTTTGGCCTGATCAGCAGTGCTCTTCTTATGATCTTAAGTCTTCCCCATGGCTGACACCTAAAATCTGGGTCCTGCAAAGTGGCTAATGCTGCAGACAGAATATTAATCATTATCTTGGAGAAAAATCAATGGGACTCTATTTTTGTGGCTTGTGTTGGAAGGCTAGAGACCGCAGCTGATCCCAGGTGAAGCTGATCGGTCTGCAAAAGGGCAGGTTCTATATACATGAACAACCCATAGCCATGGTAACTAGTGTTACCCATTCTGGAGGCAAGCTGGTATTGGCAACCAAAGCAAGAAGTCATTATTGGCTTTGTGGGGAATGAAACAAAGCTAAGTTTGATGTTTGCTGCCCAAAGTCAGTTCTCATCTGAAGAGGCTGGAACAGTGGGTGGGAATATCTGCTGTGGGTAAATGGGACTGAATGGAGGCAACATGAGCCCCACATTTCTTTTCAAGATCCAAAGTTGCTTTTCTCGCCCTAGCAGCACACTTTGAATGGGAGCATTCACCAGCTACTTCCTAAAATTCACAGCTCCACAAGGGGCTCTGACTATGGAAGTCATTGAGAGATTGGCCCTTTGTTCCTTCAGCAGAGCCAAGATTTCTCTCAATGGACAATTGGTGAATTGGACTGGAAAAGACATCCATTTCGTAATGTCAAAAGCACAGTTTTTCAACCCCGTTTCTCTGGAGGTGCAAATATTTGTTCTTTTGGCACTGTTACAGAAGGAAGCTGTAGCTTACTGCTGTCGCCACACTGTGCCTAAAGAACTTGACATTCTTTCCCAAACTGATATTAACTTCTGGGGACTCTGCATGGTGGGAAAAGAATTTCCCATCAGGCTTTAGGTTATTTTCTGGACTTCTTAATATCAAGCAAATAACATGTTTGAATGGGACAAATTCAGTACCAGTTTTAGAAAACGTTTTAACTTCCAAGGAGGGGAAATGTTTGGCACTGTTTGAGACGAAATATACCAGACCAGCAATTGCATGCTCCATTCTCGCTGGAAATAATAGTTTATAATGTAACTAAAAGATTTCAAAATGCCTCTTTTAAACCGATAAAAGCAACTAAGTGGGATGCAACAGCAATAAAATGCTTGAAAGGAAGGAATAAGAAAGGAAGCTAGAAAAGATAGATGCACTCTGCAATCTGAACATGGCCATATCATATAATAGAACAGCCATATAGAGCTGGCTATACCATAAGGATAATGCCTGGAAAATTCTACAAAACTTTGCTATTCCATTCCAAGGCTCATCTATGTGTTTTTTACACAGTGGAAATTCACATTACATTACTGGAAAATTGCATGTTGCCTAGAGAAGGTAGGTTATATGGCATTTGACAATATTGGAAACAGACAATTATTTGAGGACTGAGTGCTCACTGTCCATATCCTGAACGCAGCAGGGAGGCATGGCTGCAATGTATCCATTTATCCCAATATATACTCACTTGGCAGAAGAGGGCTACTACAAACACTACAGGGCCTGGAACGTCCTGATGTAAGACATTACGACATTACTGGTGGAACTTGAAACAGTAACATATTCGGGGTGGGGCTTGGAACGTTACTGCTACTTACAGCACAATCCTGTACATTCCTACTCAAAAGCAAGGCCTGCTGAGTTCAATGGGGTTTACGCCTGGGTATGTAGCTATAAGAAAACAGCCTCAGTATCCTAACCTGGAGCAGCGTGCCCCGTACATTTTGAGCAATAATGCAATCAAACATGCAATCTTATAGAGCTCACGGCAACTATTGGTTAGATCTGCTTCTGAAAAAACTCAATTTCTAGTTTCAATATAGGCACGGGGAAGGGCCATAGCTCAGTGACAGAGCGTCTGCTTTGCACGCAGAAGGTCCTGTGTTCAGTGCCCAGCATCTCCAGGTTGAGCTGGCAGCAACCCGTCTCTGAAATCCTGGAGGGTCAATGCCAATCAGCGTAGATAACACTGAGCTAGATGGTCCAATGGTCTGACTCAGTATGTCAGCCTCCTATGATCCACTCTGTCCTTTCTGTCTTTGAAGTTACAGCATAAGCTGCTGCCAAGAGGTTCATCAGATGGTGATCTACAGATGATGGTGAGGCCCATCAGCATCCATCTTGTGTGACAGATAAAATAACTTGGACATCAGTCAATTCAAGTTTGATATGCAATGCCCTCCAGTATACAGTAGAAGACCAAAAGAAAATGTAATCTAATGGGTTGGATCCAGGCTAAGTTAGCTAAACTTGGTTTGACTGAAGACAATGGAACTTAACAAAGTCATGACTAACTAGTTCCACTGATTTCGGCTGGTCCTTAGTTCAAGTAACTTACTCTGGATCCAAACCAATAAGCTTTAAGCTTCTCCAAATCACCTCTGAGAATTTAGAAACTTTTTCTACAATTCTAATTCCTTTACATGACAATGCCCCATTCATTTGTCAGTGCTTGTGGAAAAACTGGAAAGTTCTGAATGGTTCCTGTATGTATTACTGACAGCACTCAGTTCATAGTATTTTCTTTCAATTTGTATAAGATGATAGAAAAATAACCATGCAACTTACCAGTAGTCTGGAATGCCCACGAGAACACAATAGGCTATTGCAATAATGACAAACACCTACACTTCAGAAATATTTCACAGCCACAATAAATCATTTAACTAATCAATCATTGGCAATGTATGGGATGGGTAACCTGTGATAACCTTGTGAATGGTCATCAAGTTGGTTGAAGAAGGTTGTATGGTAAAATTAAGGATGCCTGAATTTCAAATGAGTGGTTGGATCCCATACAAACAAAAGTCTTCTGATGAGTGTACTCGATGAGGATTTATCAGAATTTCAAATATGCACATAGAAAAGAAATAAGCTTTCCATACATATAGCTCAGTGGTGAGGAACATGTAGTCTTCCAAATGCTGGACTCTCAACTCCCATCAGCCCCAGCCAATGTGGTCAATGGATGATGGGAGTTGAAGTTCCAACAACATTTGGAGATCACACATTCTCCATCCTGGTGCTAGACAAATGTAACAGACACAATAGATTTGTGGAAGCCAACACAAACAAGTCCTTCCAGGTTTTGGGAACTGCATAAGAGCCACCCAAGTTAATTCTAAGACCAAACCATTCAAAACTTGTTTGAAGAAACGTCAAGCAGTATGAAGCTACCGAATAATAAATAATTTGTTATTTTCAGTGTGACATTAAAGTGACCCAGATTAGGTTGAATTTAAGCCAAAGCATATTTTAAGGAGAACATAATCCCAGCATGTGATTGGCAAGACTCACATTTCTGTGCTTATTTGACTGAAAATGCCTGCTCATACTGGAAAAATGGATCATGTGAAGCCACCCTTGGAAAGGATTTGTTAAGGTCAGAAAGACTAACAGCCCAATCTGTTACTCCCTATGCAGGATTACTTATGCAGAACCAATTGGGCAGCACTTATACTAACAAGATGCTGAAACAGATTGATGGCAAGTTGAAATGTTCTGCCTCTACTTTTATGTGTGTGTATGACAACACAATACACAAGAAAGGACGGGACGGGACTAGAAGGTGGAATGAATGCCCTCGTTTCCTTCTCTAAATCCTTGTGTCTTTTATATGCACACAACCAACATGCAGAACTGCAAGAGTGGATAATTGCTTTCCCCTCTGTTGGGTCTCTGTGTGACAAAAAGGACACGAAGCTGAGGTTAATTGCTAAAACTATTCTGTCAGAACAAAAATTCTAATTCTATGTCCTTTTTAAAGCACATTCGGTAATTGTTTTGCTGGCACCATGCCTGTCCCCGACAGTTGATGCACAATTCTAGCTCAGCACCTCTGACTAAAGTAGATCTCTTATAAATAGATACTCTCTGGGGAACTCCTCCGCTCCTGCTTCTAGCAATCTTTAACCTTAAAAAAGTTTGTGCTGTCTTATTCAGTGTTTGTCTGACAGACAAAGAGATGGGCATTGCAAGAATTTCTTCAGCAGTTCTGCTACCCCTTAATCAGCTTTGGACAAGTTGGGTTGGACTCGATGGCCCTTGTGGTCTCTTCCAACTCTATGATTCTATGATTAAGTGATCAGGAATCAACGCATAGAAGAGGCCACAGGCCAAGGTCTGTGACATGGATAATTTTCAGTCTATATATACTATTTGGGAGTCTGATAATTAGGCTAGAGCATGAGAAACCTACCCTGGATTGATTCAGCAGATTAAGGAAACAGAGGTTACAAGGGAAGGAAGGGTTAGTTAAAATGCTGAGAAAAACATGGTTCTACCAGCACTGGTGAATGTGTCTCTGAATTATACTACGGAATACAAGCATTTAAACAACAGACTTGACATACATATTCTAAGGATGGATTACTTCAGGGTAGTTAGCTCCCACAGATTTAGGGGAGTGGGGAAATGCTAGCCCCACATATAAACTGCATGATCATAATATGGCATTTAAACCCTACCTGCCTTTTGACAGATTTTATAATTGGATGAAACCAGAAAAAAGTTTGATTTTTTACTTTTAATGTCTAGATTAAAAACAGAAAGTGATATGTGAGTCAATTCTCACATCACCTTTATGATGTGGGTGCCCCTGAGATACAGAATCACATGGGGCCATAACAGCATGGGAAGCCATGTATGCAAAACAGTTCATACATGTAGAGGGTAATTTTAACCGTCTTAGTGGAAGCATTCACTTCTGGATGTGGTTAAAATCACCCCACTATATGGGGGGGCTCCTTCAGTCATACAGTTCAGGCCACACAGAATTTGACATCTCAGTGCCATCCATGCTAGAAAGGTCTTCAAGTCAAAGCACTCCTTTTCCTTATATATGATGCCCAAATCTGACTCTTGACTGTTTAAGTATCAAACATATTCAGAGCCACAATAGTTTTTAAGAGGCCCTGAAGTACTGTATTCTAGCCACTCAGGTCTGCATTATTTTCAGGCACTGGCCCAATTCAGATGTAACAATAGTGGACCAAGAACAAGCATTGTGCCTGCATGCTTCAGACTCCCATTTACTCTTCTATTCTCTTGTATGGGGTTATCGAAAGTTTCTGAGGTTTGTTAAGCCACAGATTCCTGTTAGATATGATCAGGGAGATGTGGTTTGATCAGTCTACAAACAAGAACCTCAAACCAAGAGCAGATTTTATGGTTTCATATCCTTGTTTGTAGTCAGAAATTAAATTACAGTTTCCTGGTTCAGATATAATGGGAAACTATGGTTCAACAAACCCTGGAAATTTTCTGTCGTGGCAGATGAAAAAAAGGAGGAAGGAAAAGGAAGTACAGAGGCACAACACTTGTCCTTGGTCCAATAAATAATGATTTCTTGGACCAACTGGAGCATCTTTATATACTCAGAAATAATTATGCAGCTGGTTTTATAGGTTTCCTAACAAACTCAAGTCAACATTGCTGGCATTTTGTTAATCATCTTTAGATTTCCTAATTTTACTTGTAAAATTCATTCTGCTACAATTTGCCTGAGCACTCTAACTTAGGGCAGTGCATAATGTTTTTTTTATTATTGTGACTTGCCTTTTTTAAGGAGAAAAATGCTTGTTTCTTCATTGGGTTCCATAATGAACCTTCTGACCTCATCTCTTATTTCAGGAACAACTTTTGGTATAGCAATCCAGCAGTGTGACATTCCATATCGGTACCAATACTTGGCTCCCACCATCCAACATGATTCTACAACCAGTGGATCCTTGACATTTCTCAACACAGTCCTAAGAAAAGTTGGGGTTTGTTTTTTGCACTTTGGGGTTTACATCCACAGGCAGCAGTCCAGGGACTGATATGGCTGCTTGGGCCCCAGGGGAATTTCAGAGAGAAAAACATAAAGGGGACAGACTGGTGTGGCAAATGAGGCCTATGAATACTTTAGGTGGCTGGTGAGGTGTGGAAGACCTACAATACACTCCTTCTTATTGCTTCTGCCCAGAAATGATAATACTCTTTGCCCTGGTAATCAGGCTCTGAATCAACAGCTAAAATTTGCTTATCTCATTGCAGTGTACTACTGTGTTATGAGAACCTAGGAAACTGCAACCACCATAGAACCTTTTGGCAGAAGATTGCTGCCAGGGAACAGGTTGAATTTAGAAATGATGAATGTTAAATTGGGTTCTAAATTGGTGAGAGGATATTCCAGTATCATGGGTCCAGCTGAATAATGAGTTAAAAATCTATGCAAAGGATCTATGGCAAGACCATGAAGAACACAGCAGATGCCCCCACTAAAACACACACATATACACACATCTGTGTTGCAAAAACAGCAGACAGCAATTCATGGCACCACACGTCGGAGCCGGTAGATGCAGAATGAATGTCATTCAAAAAATACATCTCTATTGCAATCCCTAAGTAAAACCTACATTAGCCAAACAACAGGCAAACCACAGTGTTCCCACGATCTTTGCCAGAAGGATTGAATTAAAAGTACAAAAGAATCATACCAGCGCGGCTGGAGGAAGGGTCCCTTTCGGGCTGGTGACTCCGGTGCTGCCTTTGGTGCTGTTTGTTTGAGGCTGCAGAAGAGAAACACACATATACCAAAAAAAGAGAGAGAGAAGCCTCGGAACCGGAAGCCGAACAAACGCATTTGCCATGCAAACCTTTGCACCACCCAAACCCCCACAAGAGAAGGAATAGATAACCCCACATTCTACATGGCAATTATGTACAAATTATGTTCTGGTAGAGAAAGAAGACCAAAAAAGGCCTTCTTTGCAAAGTGGCAAAAAGTTGTAGTGATGGCAGATTGTCTACAAAACCGAATAGTTCTTCAAACCGGCAAAGTATGACTACTCCATAAACTGAATTTTCACAATCAGTTCTGGGCTATGGATATGGATACACAAGAAGAGTGTGTAAATAT